CGGTGTATTGCATGAGAAGAATGGATGTTGAAATGTTCTTCTTACTAATATCAGTGTATTGCATGAGAAGAATGGATGTTGAAATGTTCTTGTTACTAATATCAGTGTATCACATGAGAAGAATGGATGTTGAAATGTTCTTGTTACTAATATCAGTGTATTGCATGAGAAGAATGGATGTTGAAATGTTCTTGTTACTTATATCGGTGTGTCGCATAAGAAGAATAGATGTTGAAATGTTCTTGTTACTAATATCGGTGTATTGCATGAGAAGAATGGATGTTGAAATGTTCTAGTTACTAATATCAGTGTATCGCATGAGAAGAATGGATGTTGAAATGTTCTTCTTACTAATATCGGTGTATCGCATGAGAAGAATGGATGTTGAAATATTTTTGTTACTAATATCAGTGTATCGCATGAGAAGAATGGATGTTGAAATGTTCTTGTTACCAATATCAATCAGTGTATCGCATGAGAAGAATGGATGTTCAAGTATTTTTGTTACTAATATCAGTGTATCGCATGAGAAGAATGGATGTTCAAGTATTTTTGTTACTAATATCGATTTATAACACGAGAAAAATGGATTTTGGAATGTTCTTGATACTTATCGGTGTATCGTGTGAGAAACATGGATTTTGAAGTATCATAGGACGAAGATTAATGCATAAATTGGGAAGTGCACTGCGTGAGAAGTACAACTATTCTTGGGACAATATATCTTATAGAATTTAGCAGTTTTTGTTTTAAAGTCTACAAATGTTTCTAGATACTCACTTTACGTGACAAATTCTTAAACCTCAAAGTACACATTCAGTTTAAGATAAAAGTTACTTTTTCGTGAACATATGTGTATAGAATACACCACTGCAACAATGAAAATGGAAATAAAATGATTCTGTAGAAAATTCCTTCGTTGCGATTTACGAGAGTTACAATAATAGTTTTAAAACAATGGAAATGGTAACAAAAGCATTCTGGAGAAACTCTTAGTAGCGAGTTATGAATTACAAGAATGGTTTTAAAACAATGAAAATGGTAACAAAAGCATTCTGGAGAAACTCTTAGTAGCGAGTTATGAATTACAAGAATGGTTTTAAAACAATGAAAATGGTAACAAAAGCATTCTGGAGAAACTCTTAGTAGCGAGTTATGAATTACAAGAATAGTTTTAAAACAATGAAAATGGTAAAAAACAATCTATAGAAAACTGTTCATAGCGATTTATGAGAGTTACAAGAATTGATTAAAACAATGAAAATGGTAACAAAAGAGTTTTGTAGAAACTCTTCGTAGCGATTTATGAGAATTACAAGCATAGTTTTAAAACAATGAAAGTGATAACAAAATAATTCTGAAGAAAACTGTTCATAGCGATTTATGAGTTACAAGAATATTTTTAAAACAATGAAAGTGATAACAAAATAATTCTGAAGAAAACTCTTCGTAGCGATTTATGAGAGTTACAAGAATAGTTTTAAAACAATTAAAATGGTAACAAACGAATTCTGAAAAAAAACTCTTCGTGGCGATTTATGAAAGTTACAAGAATAGTTTTAAAACAATGAAAATGGTAACAAAAGAATTCTGTAGAAAACTCCGTTGCTATTTACGAGAGTTACAAGAATAGTTTTAATGCACAAATCATCTTCTGTGTTATCCACCTGAAAAATGTGGAGATTGTGTTAAAGCACATGCAGTAAAGGTTATATCACTATTTTCAATATTGTATTCCAGAAACGTCTTCGTGGATTTATTATTGTCGCTTTTAAAACAATTTGATTGTTTATGAAATATGGAGGTATGTACTTAATATCTATCATTTTCTGGATGAATTTATGTTTCCTTGCTCCTCAACGGGAAGCACTTAAATCTGTATGTTTTTAATTTTTGTTTTTTTTATGTTTTCTTTCACAGTTGGACAGAAACACATCTATCTTGGCCGCCACCTCTTCCGAACGGTTTGTTCTTCGTCCAGTGTTCCTAATCAGGCGAGACATTTCCAGAATTTTCCAGCAGGTAGAACAAACAGGTCAAACCCTCTTCGATTGCTGTAGAAATAAAACGAAATCGTTTTCAGTCTTTTCAAACAACAAAATTGTTACAACCTAAGCTTAAAGTTACGATCTAAGACTAGGGAATTTCAACTGTAACTCAAACAGAACACGCTGTGTGTGTGTATATATATATATATATAGAGAGAAAGAAACAATAATAATCACAAAACAGAAGTATCAAATGTTGTTGTCAACTAAAACTAATTAACTAAGCGATGTTTATAAGATAAGCAATTATTCTTCTAGTAACAGTCCTTTAAATTCGGTTCTTCATTACGAAAACCAGGATAATGATTTGATGTTTAGCTATTTCTGAATGTTTGCGCATAAATTATTTAGTTTATAGATATGAACTTACGACGTTATTCTTTGTGTCAGTCCTTGTGTTACTTGCATCATTAATACTTTGGCTATTCCTTCATCAATATAGTCATCCAGTAATGTCACTTGGGTGTTACTATCTGCTTCACTCTTTGCATTACTTCTCGTGTGACATTTTTTGTTACTAATTATTTCACTCCCTGGTCCACTTTTGTGTTACTTATTGCATTACTTCTTGTGGAACATCTTTTATTACCAATGATTTCACTCCTTGGTCCACTTTTGTGTTACTTATTGCATTACTTCTCGTGAAACATCTTTTATTACTAATTATTTCACTCCTTGGTCCACTTTTGTGTTACTTATTGCATTACTTCTCGTGGAACATCTTTTATTACTAATTATTTCACTCCTTGGTCCACTTTTGTGTTACTTATTGCATTACTTCTTGTATCATTTCTTTCGCTCCTACTTGTCTCACTTCTTGCTATAGTATTTGCATAATTTCTTATGTTATTATTTAATTCGTTCCTAGAGTTACTTCTCGTGCCACTCTTACGTTAGTATTATTTTAAATCTTGGATTATTCCTTAGGCCTCTTCTTGTATTACTCCTTGTTTCACAAATTGCATTACTAATGCTTTATCTCTAGCGTTATTACTTGAGTCACTCCTTACGTTACTGCTTGTTTCTCTTCTTGCTTACTTTTTTGTGGGACGCAACGTCAATTTAGCAACTAAGCTTTTACTTAAGACATTTATGTCACAGTCAACTTGGCAAGTAAACATTTATTAACACTTTTTTGTTGTATATTTTAATATCTGAAGATAAACGTATTTTCCCAATTCGCTCAACATTAGAACGTACGTCTAGCAGCAAGCTCTGAAATTCATTATCATTTAATTGCGTATAACTCCTTGCTCACACTAAAATAAGTGAAAAGAATGACATTTTGTATTAGGTCCACATAGGACAGTCACGTCGAGAATTTCATGACAGTCGCAGCTTAATGATGTTTAAGAAAAAAGCTTTAAAAATTGCTATTCTTTCTCAAAATGCTTATTACTTTAAAAAAATTCTACTGCTTCAACAAATAACCCAAATGTAAATGCTTTAGTTGTTAGTTTCTGGTAATCATGTATTTGTGTACATTCCATCCAAATTGGAACCAAGAAACTAATTCTGCTTTACTATAATAACTAAGAGCTCCGAGTAATAAAAACTTTGTATCCAAGGAGACAATCTGGTTACCTAGTAACTAGAACATCTGTAAATTGACAGCTTTGAGTCCAAGAAAACAAATAGGTAACCTAGTAATTAACACACCTATGTACTGATAACTTTACATCCAAGAAGATTATCCGGTTACCTTGTAACTAAAACACCGATGTACTGATAACTTTTTATCCAAGAAAATATCCTGGCTACTCACCTGGTAACTACGTGATCACTGTATTGACAACGTTGTATCTTTGTATTTAAACCAACATATATTCCAGTAAATAGTTTTCTAATGAAAAATGAGTGCTTGTGACCGAGTTACAAAAGCTCTCAGCATAATTTACTACGAATGTTGCAACTCGTGTTTGGCAAACATAAGTTAGCCACACAAATCACGTAGTGTGCGTTACAGAAAGTGGCTCCTACCATATGTGATATTTAACATTTACATAGAAAGTGGCCCTTACCATATGTGATATTTAACGTTTACATAGAAAGTGGCCCTTACCATATGTGATATTTAACATTTACATAGAAAGTGGTCCTTACCATATGTGATATTTAACATTTACATAGAAAGTGGCCCCTACCATATGTGATATTTAACATTTACATAGAAAGAGGCCCTTACTATATGTGATATTTAACATTTATTTTGAATGCAGAATCACGTGGACAGGTTTGTTTTCTTTTCTACGTCTTATCGACAGCGTTGCCTTATTTACCGTTTCAAAAATATAATATTCTTGCGAGCTGTATGCTGAGGTCAACGTACCATCAAAGTCTGTGTTCGCATGTGATGAGATTCGAGCTCCCACGCGGTTCAAACGTCGATAGTACATAAATGTATGCATGCACATATGAATGGTTACGCTAAAAATAGTAATGAAACACTAAAGCTTTTAGTCAAAGTTAACTCTATTATTCAAAGAAGAACTCGATCAGGAATTTACGCTGACTATACCCATTGTAGTTCATCATATCTCTACTGACAGTTGTATAATAATGTTTTAAATAAGTTTAACTTTCTTTGTCTATAATCTAATGATAGTTCTTTTTTTTACATACGTACTGCAATAATTTTATATGAGAAAATAGAAAGTGATTTTTTGACACATTTATATACGAAGGTTTTGATTGAAGTGATTAATAGACAAAACTGTGAAATAAAAGACCGATCATTTCATATTAAAATTTATTTTAACATCAATATTCAATTACGTAACTCCATCACAATATTAGAAGCGAGACACAGCTGATACGTTTTAGGCTTAACACTTTCGAAAAACGTAATATAATTTAACCCCTTAGAAACTAATAAATAGCACATCATTGAACCGTGCTACAGTTTGTGATAAGCACAAGTGCTCAGTGACGGTGTTAGAAGCTCATGCTGAGGTCGATTTATAGGTATCAAAATTCTACCTTAGTGGGATTTTGTAACGTTATTTTTCGTCTGTTCTTATTAACATTTTGTAAGTTTATTCTTTTGAGACTGTTTAACCCACAATGTTTTATCGCTTTGAGATCTTGCGGAACATTTGTTTTTGTTGTTTGTTTGTTTGTCTTTTGACAGAAAAGCGCGCTAGGTACATTGTATTAAACTTCGATAAAATAATTATTCGCATAACATCTAAAGAAAACACAAAATATAGCGATAATGGGAAAAAGACGTGTACCATTGAGGAATAAGTCAGTTTTTTCTGTAAAAATAAATGAGTTAGAAATTATTTGTGTGTTACAAATGAAGAGCCCCATATCCTGAGGTAGAATAATTTGTTAAGTTTATATCTGATATATAATCATTCTCAAAACCGGTTGAATCATTTCAAAACATTTTGAAAGCTCGGGATTATTTTCTATATAATCAAAAAAGCAATGTGGCTTAATTCTTTGGTTACAGGAAAGGCGGGGATGAGAGAATCATAACCTATGAGGTGTGAGGATATAAAGTCTTGAAATCACCTTGCAGAATCTATAAAGTGTGAGTATTGTTCGTTAGTTCATTTATTCGTTGTTAAGCATAGAGCTACATGATGGTCTATCTGTGCTCTGCCCACCACGGGTACCGAAACCCGGTTTCTAGCGTTGTAAGTCCGCAGACTTACCGCTGTGCCATGGGGTCACTTATGTCTTAAAAGAATATCGTATATGTTGTCTCTAACTAAGTACTGTGCGTTAGTTTTTAACTATAAACGTATCTTAAATGGTTTATAAGAACGTGAAAAACAATCCGAAATATTTAAAGCTGTTCAGAACTTAAGTAGTTTTTAATATATTATTACATCTTAAAATATTTGTATAATGAGCCATAATTAATTTGCACGCCTGGCGCAAACGACACTACAATGCATGTAAACGAAACAAAAAAAACACTACAATATCCACTCTTAACTTTTCTAATCACTTTGTATTCGTGTGGACTAAAGTTCTGGCCACCTTGCATCTGAAAAATCATCCTCACTACTAGAAGCTAAATGAACACCCTATTAACACCTTTATATCCAAGAAGACTCTTTAACTGACTAGTAACTAAAACACCAATGTACTGATAACTCTATTTCCAAGAAAACATTCTGGCTTACTAGTCACTAAAACACTAAGGTACTGATAACTTTGTATCGAAGAAGATATTCTGGCTGACTGGTAAATAAAACACCAATGTACTGATAACTTTGTATCGAAGAAGACATTCTAGCTGACTAGTAACTAAAACACCAATGTACTGATAACTTTGTATCGAAGAAGACACTCTAGCTGACTAGTAACTAAAACACCAATGTACTGATAACTTTGTATCGAAGAAGACATTCTAGCTGACTAGTAACTAAAACACCAATGTACTGATAACTTTGTATCGAAGAAGACATTCTAGCTGACTAGTAACTAAAACACCAATGTACTGATAACTTTGTATCGAAGAAGACGTTCTGGTCACCAAGCTACTAACTAAAAGATCATTCTATTGGTAACATTGTATCTAATTTCTTTAATTAAGTTGTATATCCTATTTTCTGATTGTAGGTGTATTCTAAGTAGTTTATAAGAATGTCCCCTTCCGATGATTCAGCGGTATATGTGAGGGCTTACAACGCTAAAAATTGCGTTTTGATAACTGCAGTGGGCACAAAACGGAAAGACCATTGCATAGTTTTGTGCTTTATAAGAAACAAACTATATACATGTGAAATAGATTGAGATTCTTAGAAACTTGTATGTTTTTTGATAAGTCATTACATCTTGATATATTTCAATAATTAATTTACATACCTGCCATAAAAGTTGCAATGCATCTAAACGAAGCAAAAAAAGCAACTATAATTAACAATTTTACCTTTGTCTTCACTCTATTTCAGTAGCTTATTGTTATTATTTGAATTCAAAATTATTTTATACCATTCATATTTTTATTTTCATACTTACTTCCTTTGATAATTCCTACTACTATTTTATACAATAAAACTTTTATATTGTATTTTACTTCTGTTATAATTTCTATTACTTGTTTTGATTATAAGAAGTTCGAAAAGAATTACAATTTTGAATTCATTTATCACATTTTTTTTGCAGAAAATAGTTTCAACTAATATTATTTTCTCCATCATTTCTAGAAAATAATGCCAAGGAGTAAAGACAACAAAGTGATTAACTGATCTGACAACGAAATATTTGGATCAAGTACTTCAAAAAAAAAAAAAAAGAGACTCAAGGTTAAACTTTAATCTTCCTTTGGTGATTGTAATAAAACTTGCTTACTCACAAGTAGGACTAGAGTTTCTGAAGATCATGAAGGACATAAAATGGGTCAATTCCGTTTACTGAAAGCCTCAGTTATTGTAAAGAGGCAGGCAACATTTACATATAGTTATACATAAATGCTACTGATGTGATCGTAGAATCAGAAAAACCTTAAGACTAAGGTTATAGTATCTGAAAATAAAAGCAACCAATAATCGAGACTCTTAAAGTATAATTAACTTTAACATGGTGTTTCTCTTAGTCACAGCAGACTGCACGTGATGGTCAACAGAAGTCGTTAATATTGACGAATGACGGAAGACTAGCTGTCTGATTGTCACTCGTGTCTTCGAGCCTATGTTAAAGAAAGAGTAGAACATTGAGCTTGTAACTTCTCCACAATAACTCTCTTTCATAGCATATTAGCCGTCAGCCACTATCCCCTACAAAATGAAAGCATTTCAGTGTCGTATTCGATAAATCATTCCGGTTTTTGCGGTACGTGTAAGGCTTTAAGTTACCGCACCCACTGAAATGCTTGGCGATAAATTGGGCAGCTACGCGATGATCAGCTTGGGAACGTACAGTCTGGCCACAATTTTTGTTCATAATGTCTTGACATATACTTGTGAACTTGTGCTTATACCTAATACGATCAAGCAGCGTGGTCCTTAATAATAAAGGAAACGTTCGTGTACAAATTTATTGTCTGAAAACACCAGACGGTGTAACCCAAAAATAATAATGATATAATGCTCTTGGAAAATGTGGGACAGTTCGGATGTGAATGAATAATTCGTGCAATTTGGCTAACACTATTGTTGTACGAAATAATATTACTCAAGAAAGAAAAAAATAATATTGTGAAAGTTTAAAGGCATTAAAGTTCCAGAAACAAAGAGCCCTCTACCGATATATTCAATATCTTGCCATTTAAGTTGTGAAACTCTTAGCTCTTACTAATTCTATTACATTTTTGTGTTAAATCTTATATTCTGTTTTTCGTCTTTTTAACGCGGCTCTTTAAACCTGAAACATCACAGTGCTCTACAATAAATCAAAGTTTAATAATTCTTGTTTCTTTCTGTCTGTGGAAAGCTAAACCTTTATGTTTCATTTGCTAACAATATCGTTACATTGTAACCTTTTCATTCTATTATTTATACTTAATTCACTCTTTTCTGATTTAATATAAAATATTTCACTTCCTTTCTTCAAACTAATCCAATATTCTCCCTCTTGAATTACTTTAGATTTATTATTATTTACTTTCAAGTTATCTTTTTCAAGTTTATTTTTAACCTTCAGCATGTATTCTAGGCATTTGTCAATTAGATTTCATTCATATTTATTACTTCCTCTTGTTTTATGTTTAATTTATTTACAAGTATTTACGAAAGTCGCCTGAGCTTGTTACCATCTTCTCTGTCCTTGTGTCTTGTTACTTATTCGAGGGTTTGTCACCACCACCACCAGCTCGATGTTCCTCCACAGAGCGATGAGGTATTACAGGCTCTGGATCTACTCCTGTAACCTGGCCTTACTCTTCAGTGTCCTAATCTTCGTATCTCTGGCGGCCTGGATTTTTTCCGACCACCACATGGCTCTTTTTCCCTATATTCGTTTCCACCAGCCCACTCTAGTATATGCTTATTTTGCCCTTGCTTTACAAGGTGGCATTCTACAAGCAATTGGTTGCTGGGGGGCGGTGCGAATGAATGAGCGACTTCTAAACGTCTACTGGTCAATTATGCTAGCTCTCCTCGTTGGTGATGTCATCATGGGCATTGTTTGGATCTTTCATTATAATCACATAACAGCCAACTTACGAAGTGACCTAAAGTCGAGACTTCAAGTTGATTATGGAAGAGAGTTGCAGTTCCAGATCTTATGGGATAGAATTCAGGAGGATGCTCAATGTTGTGGTGTCGATGGTCCAAGAGACTACAACCACACTTTTTGGCTCCGCCAACAACGAGAGAACTTTCCTAAGTACCACCAGATGGTGCCACTGAGCTGTTGTCGCTTTAGGTTCGCAGCCCATGTATGGGAAAGCGCATTTCTGAACCACACGTGTGTTGAGAGTTATCTTGAGAGTGAGGTTTATCAAGAAGGTTGTTACACCGAAGTACAAAAATGGCTTCAACAAAGCGCAGATTTATTATGTGTACTTGGATTTTGTGTAATCACGTTTTTAAAAGTTTGTTTTCTTGGCATTCTTCGGTATGAGATACGAGAAATGATTCAAAAAATCAGGATTCTTCAAGAGCTGGATGAACCTTCATCAATACTTGGATTGAACCTCCAATATATCAGACCGTCTATTCAAAGTGATACCTTTTCAAGGGACATTTCGCAGAGTCACGTTGGAAATCACTTAGTTTCAAACAACCACATCCCCCATGAACCATTTTCGAAAGAGAGTTTAAGAAGTATAAATGGAAACAACAACGAAAGTGAGCATTGGGACTACAAAAAAACTAGTGCTGTTTAGTCTTCAATGTGCTTAACATACACAAAATCTGGTTCAGTGTATTTCTTGTTCAGTGTTCGAGAGTAGTTTTAAAGCATTTTTAACTCTGCTTTTCGTTTTAGCCTTATGATAAAGTCTAACTTAGTCATCAAAGTAATGTATACAAATAAAACATTTCTTGTTACATTAACATCGTGTTTCATTAGAATCAAGTTACTAAAGCTTCTATGTAAGAAGGGGAAGAGTGAGTGTCAAAGCTAGTGCCATCTATCAATACATATGAAATAAACGATATTTTCTTTATTTTTTTGATGGAAATGTTTTAAACATTTGACAATCCTTAATTATTCTATGTGTTATTTTCTGTTTGTTTAGATACGAATACATAACAGCTGAGTAACGAAGTCTTATTGCGTTATATATATTCTTGAGTTCGTCTATATGGCGCTAATTAAGATGTACTGAAGGTAGCTGTGCCTTTAAAGACCATAACTAACTAAGAAGTGGTAACGACTCGTATTTTGTTGGTTGATGCTGTTTATGTATACCTCTTTTTATGTTTTACATTATTGTCTTCATTGAAAGACCTGTAGTTAAAACTGATTTATGCAGATCTATTTTACCTTTGACATCATTTTGAAAAGCAGATACACTTTCTGCTAAAACAATTATTTAAATACTAAAGTTAGTGTTGTTATTGTTAGTGTGAATTTTAGGTTAACTTATACATTGGTAAATTACTTATTAAACTCGTTATTAGCAATTGAATAGGTAAGTAGAAATGTTGTTTAGCATTGGCCTAGTTCTTTATATTACGAAATATTGTAAAGAACCACAATCACCGACACAAATTTCCTCTATCTTTCTTCCCTCGGTGCAATCATAGAATTTAGTTAACTTAATCGATTTCATATTTCATAGATATACAAAAGGGGCATAATCACACTGAGGAAATGAACAATACGTGACAGTGAAAAACCAAATCAAAGTAAAAGACACAGACTCGCCATTCTGTTTGTTCTAGACATGTTAACCTTGTGAACTACAATGGCATAAACTTATTTTTTGTTTATAAAAAATACTTAACTCTGTCAAAAGGTTTCTATACATTTACAAGAGCTAATAATATTCCAGTTTCGAATAAATATTTTTAATTATTAAAAAAATTAGATTAAAACTTTATATTTTGAATATATTAAAATAATAGTTAGAGGTTCACTTAGTTACCCCCCAAAGGCAAAACGGTTATTTTCTTAGGCTAGAATGTTAGCAAGATAAAAAAGAAGTGAAAAAATTATGAACGTACCTGATCACTGATATAATATTACATAATAGTTTCGTATGTAAACAAAATCTACATAGTATCGAAAAGTCGTGACAGGTAATAAAATAACCAACTAGACTGACACCGTCTTAAAGGAGGAGACATGATGAACACATAATCTGTAAATAATAAATATTCTGGGGATATAATGGCAAACACAAACAAACATCGCAGTCAACAGAGAGCATTAGCTTTTCCTCCAAGAGGAGACAAGGCGTTTCCTGGCAAATTAAAATGTTAAAACTGGTAATATAGCATCTAAAATTTATATTAATATTGTGTTATATATACATAGATTATTTAATAGTGACACGAGGTTATTATAAGAAGTGGAAAATAACATACAAGTAGCTTGTTTGCTCAATAAACAACTATAATACCGAAACAAATGTCTAAAGACACGGCAGCCTGTTACAATAGTAATTATACATAATAATAACAATACGATATCCAACGAAAAGTTACGAAGAAGAGATCAAACAGACTGGAGTAAAGCCAGTTAAGCAAATGCTCATTATAGTGTAATTGTGTTTAGAGGGGGAGCGTGACTTTATATGAATGCATGAACTGGAAACAAAACACAGTTTATATGCCCCCCCCCCCCAATGGCACAGCGGTGAGCCTGAAGACTTATAACGCTAAAAACCGGGTTCGATACCGGTGGTGGGAGCACAGATAGCCCATTATATAGCCCTGCAATTAACAACAAACAAACAGTCTATACGGAAAAGTAATGACAAGAGTAAAAACAATTAAAGGTGTTACTTTTCAGACGACAGGGGCGCCATCTTTAAAACCATTTCAGAATCGCTGAAACAACAACAGCCTTCATTTTGTAAATATTTCTTCGTTACATAGAAGGAAAAATAGAATATTAATGAATGATTAACTGGTAGTTTTAAATCAGTGCTGAAGCCTCATACCTTTGGTTTGATTAAAAAGTGTTATAGTGATTTGTAAAATATGACTAAAGATTACTCATGTGTAGTGTGTGAACAGTTATGTTAACAAGGCTACCTTTGTGCTTACCACATATTCTGCTGATTGAACTTAACCTTTTAAAACTAATAAACATATTTATATAGAAATAATTAATAATTAGACAACGGTGATGCAACCTTTAGGCACGTATTTGTAGCAGCTTCATATATGACATGACAATGAAATAAGTTAATATTGTTCACAAGTAATTTATAAAGCATACAAAAGGATCAGAGACTTATTATATACTTCTCTAATTTTTGGAGCTTCACTTACACAGTTGTAAACTGACGTGAATGAGTGGTGCTTTTATGTACATAATATTATGTTGAAATTCTTACGATGTAGAAGAAATAAAATTCTTTCAAGGGGAAATTTGTTATCTGTCTTTTCTCATAACATAACTTAAAGAGATTCTTTCACAATGAATCGAACTAATAAAATTCAAATAGCTTTCAAAGTTACTTTAAACATCACTTTCTTTTCGTTTTTCAGAATAATATTCATTAGTGAACATAATTATAAAAAAAAGGTGGATACTTACCTTATTACACGCGTTACAAAAAAAAAATTTTTTTCGTTTTGGTTTTACGAGGCAAACGAAGGTGCATTAGATAAAGAGTTCTTACTTCAATGAAAGTAAGAATGATTGTAATTCTCAAAATTCAGCTTCGTTTTCTCATTAAACATTCATCAGTATCATAACATTTTAATTGTTTAAAACAAAAGAGGAAATCCTAGTTAGATAATAGAAACACGTTTAATGAAGTGTCGTTTTGTTTACTGGGTTTTGGTATAAGAAGTCTTTCTAAATATCGATTAAGATAAAAGATATATTCAACACTTTGGGATTTTTAACCTAACGTCGATACTAGGAACTTGTACTTATAATATATATTTTTTTTCAAAATGGTAGTACAACTGAGTAATTAAAAAACACTTTCAAAATTGTCCTTATAAACAAGTATGACAAAAGAGAATCTTGCATACAAATGACAAGTTACAAGACCTTGTGTATACAATGTATAAGCTACTGTGTTTTAATACTTAAGATGCATAATTGTTGTCTTAGCTAATTACTCAATTGAGCAGAAATAACGAAAGGCTACTACCTAAAATAACTCGTATAGGATTATTGTGTTATCTATAACAACCTATATTACTTTCTGGTACTCTCGAAACTTGTCTTATGCACTATCGTTGTAAAACCTCCAATGGAAACAAGAAACACATACAGAGTAGTAATGAGTTACTTTAAATTCTTTATTTGAAAAACTCGGATTAACATGCATGCAACTCAAATATTTAAAGAACGATAAGAGTATAATAAAACTTCCTGGAAGAAGAATTAAGATTAGACATGAACATTCTCACAATGAAAAGACAAAAAGTGAAAGAATAAATAAATTAATATGAGATATCATACGATAAAATATCAACTATTTTCTCTCACAGCCATCTAAAAATTCTTTTACATCTGAACAATTATCATCACGCTGAGCTTCAAGCTTTCCATATATTATGAAACGAGTACAAATGAACGCAATTTTGGTTGATGAAAGATTTCCAAAATGAGCACACCATTTTATGGAATAAACTCACAAAGCTTGTGGATTATCTTAACTGAAATAAAAAGTGTTTCATATCTTGAATATGCCCTCTTTCTCATAATTGTTTTCATTCATGACTTTTTTTCTATCTCTTTTTCAAGACGAATAAAGGTTTCCAACTTGTATTCATGAAGCATCTCAGCATAATGTTTGGCGAAGTTTTTCTTATCTTTATAAATATAGCCTCATATGCTAATGTTAGCAATACTTGTGGTGTCAACAACTTACATGCAAAATTGTTACTGCAGTTCTTTCGGGGAGTGACCTAGAGTAAATCGGGTTGTTAGTAGCTAAATATTGACCACAGTTCACTTTTATAGGAACGTTTTTTTATTTATTTTTATTAAGAACAATAACCAAAGAGTGTGCAAGTGGTGCTATGCAAAAATACTAGATAAAAGGACACGTGTACTAAAGAGCAAAGGAAGACTGCATTTAGAAGAGATATCAACGACATTAACTCTACATTTTAGGTGTATATCCAAGTTCACATCCACTAAGACAGATCCGTTTAACTTCTCAAACAACTGACTTGGAAATAAAGCTTGCATCCATTCTTCCTTCAGTTTTCGCAGCCTTGTTCTCGACAAGTTAAGAAGCGTTGACGTATCCTTAACAGGGTAACAATAATCCAAGTAATCCACAAAGATTAGGTGCACTGTGAAGACTTGCATTACAATGGGCTTGGCATGACCTGGCGGTTAGGACATTCGACACGCAAGCTACGGGTCACGGATTCCATAATTGTTACCAAACAAGCTCGCTCTTTCATCCCTATGGGCGTTATAATGTGATGGTCAATCTCACTATTTGTTGGTAAAACGTAGCCCAATAGTTGGTGATGGGTGGTGTTGAGCAGCTGCCTTTCCTCTAGACATCGAATAGCTTTACACGAATTTCAACAAAAGAAACAAACTATGATTTTTATCACAGAGATGAAAATAAATAAATAGCATCACTGGTTAGTAAATTTATGGAGACATGTACCAATATACATCAGATCAGTATTTAACATGTGGGAAATAAGCGAAAAAACTGCTTTTAAAGGTAATTAAACAAAATCTGACAGATTTACAACTACCCTTACTAAACAAATAGCTTTCTTCATACACTAAGCTGATTATCAAAATAAACTATAAAAAACAGGCAAGATTTGATGATCAACGTTTTCTTAAACCGAATCATCAACAGAGATAAAAGTAGAGAATGTTTTAGAAGTGTCATTTATTCATCGAAGAAAGATAATAAAACAGTTTAATTGACAATACCTCACTAGTTACAATGTGTATAATACGAATACCTTTAAATTCAAAGTGGTTGGAGTTCATCAGCTTGTCCCAAAGAGCCAATTTGGCTAGAAAAAAAAAGAGAGAGAAATACTCGGTAATGGGGGAGATATCTTCCTGGCATTGATACCATCTCTCAATCTGTGAAGCATTCCAGTGATCAGTTGGATGACTTTAAGAAATCTATTGTCCCAATCTTCAGTCAGTGCATTGCCAAGTTTTATTACGTGTGTGATGTCTTGTAGTGTTGCACTCACGCAAGCTTTGTCTAAAGAGGGCCTTCTTGGGACTTCTTGTTGGCCAATCCAATACCTCTCTGGGTTTTTGTGTTTAGGATAATCATTAAATCGCACAACTGGAGATAAGACACTGGGCATTATCCATAATCATGACAAAATGTAGCCTATGTGAATCCCCAGCTATTGTAAAAATGGGTCCACTATCAAATAAATATCTCATAAGTCACAATAAAATATGTACGTCTGTACATACTGATGCCTTCCCACTCCATTATTTAACATCCATTGAAACAATAAATTTTAACAACGTTACACTGAACTTATTATTAATTTCTAGTTCTCTAGACACCAATCCGTTGTAAATTGGTAGAGAAGGGAAACTCTGACCACCTGTGGTGTTGCTACCAATTTTACAACGTCAAAAAACTGTGTTATGTTGTGCAGTAAACTGTGGAGCTAAAGCAGACTTTCTGGACCCCAAGTCGGACTCATTAAATCTGTTTCTCACCATTTGGCCCCAGTCTCTATTTTGCTGTCCATATTAGGTGTATAGACAATAAACTGACGACTCCTAACGACCACTTGTGCAAACATTGTTGCTGTATAATGTAGTTGACCTTCTACAACTTCCTCTAGAGTACACATCTTGTATTTATTAATGTATTTAGTACGACCTTCAATGCACTAAAATAAGATGCCAATTTTATGTACGTTTTCCAGCATTCGTTTAATTTTAATAGTTTGGATTTCCATGGCGTGTAGCACATGCAAAATGTACCGAAACAGTTGTGCATTTAGAACACGTGAACATGCACACAACTAACAACATAACCATATTACATTCAGGTATAATTTTTCAGATCGTACTAAATGTTCACCCTTTAATTTTTTAGTGAGTGGACACTGAAGTAAATATATTGTTCAAGAATGAAATTTGTACCCTGGCTTAAACATTTTGAAACAATAAATACGTGTTTCATGCTCATTAAGAGTTTAAATGGTGCATTCAGCCTATTCATTGTTAAATTATATCATTATATATGCTTTTCTGTATTTGATTATGCTTAAAACTCACTCACGTTGTGACGAAATTTAGTTTTAAGTTTTAATTAGCATTTTTAAAACCTCAGACAATACTTAAATAATTCTGTATGAGAACTAAATTAATATAGTTGAATGCTACATATCATTAAACATTATTCAACATTCGATGACGAGGAACCCACTTTGAGACTAATAATGGCTGGAGACGGCTTGAATGGGTAATGAAGAAAAGCTTTAATATAACAGCAAATGTACAACAATGTACCTGATGATGACAAAACCTTGTCGAAACGTTGTACATTTGCTGTTATATTAAAGCTTTTCTTCATTAC